TTTGAGTCAGGATGCACACGTTGCATGTGGGTGATTTGTTCTTAAGGTTTTCTATGACCTGTAAGTTTCTTCCTCTCTTTTCTTAAATTATGGGCTACTTGTACACACTCCACACCCTGGGACTTCAGAATGTGGTACCTTCCTGATGTCGTTTCCTGCTCTGTCAGGTCGTAAGCTCCTCACCAGGAGTTCCAATATCATCTGTGCCTCATCTTTCCCACCCGCTCCTCACATTCCCTGCTGGCAGGATGGCATGGTCAAGAAACACTATACAGCACTACGTGTATCAGAGTCCGTGCTAGATATTGCTAACACAGAGACACAGCATTAATAATGAAACACAGGGCAGCACTCGCAACAGTACAACAGGAAGAGTGCTCCTCGATGACTGTGTACTGCCCGGCAGGCCTACTGTTTTCGCATGCAGTAACTCACCTACTGTTTGAATCTATGGGGCAGGTACTACCACCATCTGCATTTAACAAATGAGAACAAGACCCAGGGTGAAGTGACTTGCTCAAGCTTACCCACTGGGGGTGGCGGCGCAAGGCTGACACACTCAGCAGGGGCACAAGCCATGCTGCCCACAGGAGGGGTCACAGGAATCCTTGAGGGACTTATTTCTGCTGGCCCTGGCAAACACACAATGTGTGACAGGGAAGCGCTTTTACGTGTGGGCCCCACACTGCCCCTCTGTGGTTCCTTCTCATTTCCGGCATCACCTCTCATTCCCTGAGTGACCTCATGTGGCCATGTGCCTTCAAATGCCATCTGTACACCGACTATCCCACAGCTCACCCTCCCACCTGAACTCCTGCCCTGTATTTTCAACAGCCCACCATACCTCTCCAGTGATGTCACAGACATCTCAAACTCAACACCTAGGAAAGACAATGGGTCCACTAGAGCAGTAATACGGGTGGGGGGAGGGGGGGATCAGGAAAGTTCCCAGATGGCATATCAATCTAAAAATCAATACCATTTTTGTACTCAATAAAAGCCAACTCAAACTAGAACACTCACTGCCATCGAGTCAAATCTGACTCACAGCAACCCCTCCTTGGGTTTCCAAGGTGGTATCACTACGGAAGTAGATTGCCCAATCTTCCTTCTGAGGAGTGGCTGCTGGGTTTGAACCTCTAGCATTCTGGTTAGCAGTCAAGTGCCTTAGGCACTGTGCCACCAGAGCTCCCTAAAGCCAACTAGAAAAATATAAAAATGGATACTATTCACCAGAGGGGGTGGGGAAACAACCCTATAAAGCATCTAGGAATTAATAAGACATAATCTTCATGGAATAAAAACTGTAATAAAACAGACAAGGAATGGAGAGAGAGTGTATATTTTTGGAGGGGATGACTTCATACTTTGAAGATGTCAGTTACCCAAATAAATCTCTAATCCAGTGCAATTCCAATTGGAATGCCAGGGAGGGGGGTTTATAAGAAATGCAGTAAACACTGAGAGAGTAAAATTCTTTACAAAGCCACTGGTATGAAATGCTACCTTGATCTAAATCAGATTTCCTTATACATCTGAGTGTATTTCTGGACACTCTGTGAGCCAGTGCAATACTGTGAGGTTTGAATTACTATAGCTTTGCACTGTATTTTAAAATCTGAGAGTCCTTTCTCCTCATCTTTTTCATGACTACTTCTGTATGTGAACTCTGGTATCAGCTTATCTCGTTACAAAGAATCTTGTCCACATGTGTATTG